GCAGACGGAGCCCCGAGGAGACCGGCGGACCGGACCCTGCGGCGCCCGGGGGTCCTCCCTGGACCACAGCCCGTCCTGCCGCAGCCTCCCGGAAGGTCACTCCTGATTGGCGGACGGGGTGTGCTGAGCGCCGGGTGGTGCAGTGTGATGGTGGGGGTACTTTTCCTTCCCCAACCCCCTTAGCAGCACGGCTCCCGGCAGGACGGGCTCCCAGGTCTCGGGGTCTCCTGAGAAGCACGCGCTTCATTCAATCCAGGGAAAAAGAAAAAAAAAAGAAAAAGTAGCGGGAGGACTCATTAGGCAGAGAACTGCAGAGTAGAGCCAGAAGGTGGGGATATGCAAATGTGCGTATCCCCAAGTTTGGGGCCATGACAGTAGCAAGCAACACCCCCCCCCATTTATTTTATTTTATTTTATTTTATTTTTTTAACAAAGCGATTACCTAGCCTCAGTCTGGAGAGCAGTAAGTAGTTCATGGACAGATTCGGTTAGTCCAACTGCAAATACAGTATTCTTCATCTACTTTTCTTTGTGCATCTTAGAAAAATGATTCTGAACATTTTTTTTAAAAAAATGTGATGTGTTTTCTAAAAATAAAAAGTCCTCATTGGAAGTTTTAAGTGAATTTGACATTGATTTTTTCCCCCCATGAATCTATTGGACCACTCCTCTCAGCTCATTTAGGAATTAAAGAAGCAGGTTAGTTTGTTGCTTTTTATTACTGTTCTGGGTAAGGTTGGCGGTGGATGTTGAAGAAAAGAAAGTGATTGCTCTTCTGTGGTCTTCCTCAGAGCAGTAGGCAGACACTGAGGGACTCCTTAAGGTTACTCTAGTTCCATGGAGAGAACTCAGCCATGGAAGGTAATTTTTCTTGGGGGGGTGGGGCGGTGGGGAACCCTTCATTTTAAAGAAAGTATGTTCTGGCTTCTTTTTAAAAATCAAGTTTCACTTTTGGGAAAAGGCAAACTTATTGAATAAGATCTCATTCCGTTGGTGATAAAACCTCACAATAGAATCCGTAGACAAAATTTTACTTGGAACATCTCAATTTGTTAATATTATGGTAATCTGGATGCGTAAGTCAACCTTGGATTTCTGATAATGCTTGACCTTTGCTGATTCATTTGTTGTGAGTTTGAAATTGACTAGTTCTATACCACTCGTATTAGCCAAGTTCTGTACCATTCATATTAGCCAAGTTCTGTACCACTCATATGAGCCAAGAAGAGGTGAAATTCCAGATTGCCAGTGTAACTTTGGGATCTTTGTCAGATAAATAAATCTAAATATAAACACGTGTCTCAAGCAACAAATAAAAAGGTTTAGAAGTAGCTCCTACCATATTTCTTTTAGTTATAGTGAAAGGACTTATAGGGACTTTATAGCTAGTCCTTTCAGGTTATGTTCATAAGCTGCTCAAGTCTGTATTTCTTGTGTAAGCGAGTTACATGGACAGAAATGATGTAGGTTTTCATGTATGGTCCAACTATATTAGAAATTTGAGATTTATGTCTATTTTAAAGTATAAGAGAAGAGATTCTAAATATAGTCACAAGTGCATTTATATTAAAGAACATTTGTATTTTATAAACATTCTTTGTTAACATTTATAGTTGCCTACAGTGTATTATTTACAGCACATAGGATGCCATGAGGACTTACTATAAGCGAAAACTTACTATAAGCTACAACCAGAAAACTGAACCTGAAACTTCTCAGAATTAGCGACCTTATAAGAAACACAAATACTAACTTAAACATGTGTATGTGCTACATTGTGAACATTTTCAAGTAAGAATTTATGATTATCATGTTTTTAATCCCAGTTTCAGAGAATAATATTTGTGGGATCGTTTTTACTTTTTTGTCTATTTGATTTTGATATATTTTTAACTTTCCCTTTAAGAAACCATCACATTCTTACATTTAAAAATGTGCATTAACTTAAAAGGATTTTTAATAATATCTCCAGTGGTCCTGTGTGTGTGTGTGTGTGTATGTGTGTGTTCAGGAAAAGTACAACTTACAACCAAAAACCATTTAGAGAAAAGGTATTTTGATTTTTGCAAAGAATTTCCAATTATTTTCAATCACTGGATAACTAATGGACATTCTGAACACTTGAAAAATTCAAAATTAGATAAAATGATTTTACAGTTTTCAAACAAAATCATTGAAGTGATGTGAGTTAACCTGTAACTGTTAAAACAGTGACATTCATGAATTAGAAGGTTACTTAGAGAACAAAATCGCTTATAGAATAAAACTCGGGTTTCAGTGACAGTGGTGAATTGTCTGCGGTCCTAAATCTGAAATGGAATCCTGCCACTCATATTGAGCATGTTACCCACATGTACAGTCCGTTCCATAGGTCACAGTCTGCCCTGCACACATCAAATTTTAGAAGGTTTGTACAGATTAAGTGTATTGTCCATCTTGACCCTATTCCTGAACTTTTAAATATATTTCTCTTGACAATTTTAACTGAAAACATACAGATTTCTAATTTTTGCTGAAAGGTAATGATGCCGGTCATGAATCCTGGTATAAGTAGCATCCTATCTGTGATATAGTTCTAACTCCATGGAATAAGAAATAAGCTACTATTTAATTAGTGTTCCAGAATATCATGAATGAGTTATATGGTTTAATGACCACTAAGTTTACCTTCAGGTCTACTCATTCTTTCCCCTAGAGTTCCCCAACCACCATGTGGTATGTGAGTGTTTATTGGATGAGCACGTTTGGCTATGCTTACGCTTTGCAACTGATCCACAAAATTTCTTTGCCTTAATTGTATATTTTTAAGCATTTAAATATACGTTATACGTTTATTACAAAAGTTAAATAGAATTTTATCATTTTTAATACAGAGTCTGGGGTTTGCCCTTGGAACTTTGGAAATCGTTACTAATTTATTCACTACATTTTGTTAGGTGATGAGCATGTTTGTGTCTCATGAGATAACTAGGTCTGTTTGATGACGGAATTCAGGAGGAAGGAGTGGTGGTTCAGAGGCCATGCAGCAAGCCCATAATATAATGGAGATTTCCTGACTCCAGACATATTTCCTTTGTCATTGACATGCTAAGTCGTGGAACCCATAGGAATTGGTATAATATTCATACTAATAAAGAGATGACATTGGAGGTATCCATTGTTTGAAGAGACTCGACTTGTCCATTTGACTCCAGACATTTAAAAATAGTGCCAGATTCACAGAATACTTTGAATTCAAATGTATGTTACTTCTCATCTTCCAATATGAAAACATCAATGATTCCTGTCTGGCCTAAGCCCTATTTCTATAGGCTGCCCTCCATTTCCAATATACTAGGTACCAGGTTTTGCAAGAAAAACAGTTGATTTATGATTGGGTTCGTTCATATGTGCCGAGATGCCTCGAATGCACCGCTGTTCTAGGCGCCACAGGCTCTGCGAAGTGTCACACACTGTGTGGGGTGTGCTGAGGTGCTTTCGGGATGCTCACGTTCATTGTCAACGTGTTGAAAAGTACGCACATATTTTGACACATTCACAGGTTTTCTTGTCACTCAGAATAATTTCATAAGCATTCATTTTGAAAAGTATGAAGAAATTCTGGGGTTTTCCTTGGGGAATACAGGAACTCCTGCAATTAGGTAGGTCTTTGAAACAGGCTCCATGGCCTTTAGTTCTGTTGTTATTATCTAATATGGCATTATTCTTCATGTAATTCCCTTACACATGTCTGTATCTCCTAGGACAGTGATGGCGAACCTTTTGAGCTCGGCGTGTCAGCATTTTGAAAAACCCTAACTTAACTCTGGTGCCGTGTCACATATAGAAATTTTTTGATATTTGCAACCATAGTAAAACAAAGACTTATATTTTTGATATTTATTTTATATATTTAAATGCCATTTAACAAAGAAAAATCAACCAACAAAATGAGTTCGCGTGTCACCTCTGACACGCGTGTCATAGGTTCGCCATCACTGTCCTAGGGAATGTAATTTTAAAGGTTTCTCCACTCATGGAGTCTCATTTGGGTGGCACATTGAAGATTGTACGTTAAATATACCAATTTCTGAATCAGTGCGGATGAGCAAGTGTCATTGTTAGGTTAGTATCCTCAAGGACAGTCAGGGGTGAGGATGGGTTAGGGTGATACCTTTCCATATCTTCACACTTCCCTGCTTTATAGACTTGTTCGCATGATCAGTAGGTACCTATTCTTCCAAGTTCCTTGTAAACTATTACACATTCAGTATTAGACACCATCCTGTCTCTTTCCCAAAGACACGGTGTCGTATATGCTTTGCTGTACTTGTTTTTATTCTAGCAAAACTTTACAACTCAGGCATTTTTAGAGCACATTGTTCAGGTGAGGGACATAACGTATAATTGGATTATTTATGCTGTGACTTACTGAAAAAATGTAAGCAGGTTTTTAAGGCAAATGTTGTCAAGTGATACCCAAGGCTGCCTCATACCGTGATAGTTCACGCAACATTGAGTGATTTTTGGAGCTGAAATTCAGATCGTGACGTCATATCTGTTC